CCCGCTGCGCCCCCAGGGAGGGCCCGCGAGTATTAACTTGGACCAGTTTATCTCGCAACCTGCGGTCGTCCTGCCCACACCCCGCCGCGCGCGCGGCCACACCGTGGTGTTCGCCCGTGGGCAAGGCGACAACAGCGGCCATTCTCATTCTCCTTAGGGTCCCGTGGGGGGAGCGCGGGGACGCTGGCGGGATTCCCGGTGCGCCAGCGCCACCTGGAGCCGAAACTCGGGACCGCGGGTGCTCAGCGCTGCGGTGGGGGTGGGGCGACTCCCCTCCCCCTGGGGAGCGACCTGCAGTCGCCTGGTCCTGCCCACCTAGGCCCCTGGGGCCAAACTCTTCTCTGAAACTCAGCGGCTGCAGAGCCGCACCAGGGTTTTCAGGCTTGAGGCGGATTTTGCGTGAAAGAGCCAGACCCAGTCCTGTGCCAAGGGGCAGTGTGGGGGCGGCAGGGGACCCCAGCCCTGCCGACCAGCTGCCTGCTGTCCCCACTGAAGCCCGGGAGAAGGGGCACCTGGCTCGTCTGTGGAGGAAGGAAGGAAACCCGCAATACGGAACGCCAGGTCTCCAGGCCCGGTGTCCCAGCCAGGCCCCGACGGCTGCGGGGCAGTGCGGGGGCCGGCCACTGACCCCTGGGACTGACCCCTGGGACTGGCGCCCCACGAAGCCGCAGCAGGGACTTCCGAGCCCAGGCAAGCCAGCGAGGAGGCAGACTGGCTTCGAGAAAGAAATAGTTTATTGGGAAGAGGAACAGAGATAAAGGGGGACCCCCGGGGGGGGGGCAGGCCAGGGAGGGGCGGGGCAGCCCTGTGGCGTGGCCCGGGACATGCACCTTCTTCCCTGGCGATTCTAGGGCCCACCTGGGCCCACCGGTCTTTGTGACTGGTCAGGTCCTGGGGCCTCAGGACCTCAATGCCTCTGTCCGGCACTGAGTCTGTGTCCAGCACTAAGTCTCTGTGTCCAGCACTAAGTCTCTGTCCAGCACTACATCCCTGCCCTGGTCCTCAGCTCAGCGTCCTCTTTCTTTATCCTCCTTGTCCGGAAGGCCTGTTGGCCCTCAGCCGGGGCGTGTCAGCGCCCTCTGGAGAGAGTGGCCCTAGACTCTGGCGCGGGCTTGCTCTCCTGCAGCCCGCGAGGCCGCCAGGGTCCCCGCTGGCCGTGGGCTCACCTGCAGGCGGGGGCGGCGGCCGGCTCTGTATCTGTACAGCCTGTTCTGCCGGATTGCGGGGCGGCTCTGAGGGGCCGGGGCTGCGGCTGTAGCCCAGGGGCGGGCCGCGCCAGCGTTTGGTGCCGACCTGCAGGTGGCCGGGAGCCCAGAGCGAGGCTTGGGCAGCGGCAGGTGTCGGCAGCACGGGGCCTCCTGGGCCCTGCCCAGACGCTGCCCGGGCAGGAGACCAGCGCTTCCGCTGTCTTCAAGGGTGAGACGCAAACGCTCCTAACCCTGGGGTGCCCAAGCCTGCTGGGGTCTTGGCACCCACGCGCCCCGCAGAGGACCTGAGGACACCGGGAAACGGGTGTGGCGTCCTGGGCGCCGGCCGCGTGTGGGCGGGGCCTGCGGCCGGCGCCTCCCTCGGAGAATGGGGTCACAGCACCCTCGAACTCTCCTCCTCCCAGGCTGCAAGAAGTTCAAACAGAATCACGTCTTCAGGAGCCCCGGGGCGCTGAGCTCTGTCTGGGACACAGGGCGGCCTGCGGGCGGTGCCCACTGCCAGTCGGGCAGGACCCGTCGCCCTTGGGGACGCTGGCCGGCTGCGCGCGCCCGCTGGCAGAGGCGGCACACCCCGCAGTGCCTGCGTGAAGACTGGTCACTGGCGTCCAGCAGCGCTGGGCAGGGCCGGGGCGGAGGCTCGGCCGGCCTTAGCGCCTCGGCTGGTGTGGGCGGAGCAGCGAGTGGGGGGGCTGGCAGCCCCGGGGAGGCCGGGGGCGGGCCCCGTGGGGGCAGCTGGGGCCTCTGGCAGTTAAACTGCTGGCTCGGCTGTTGGGGTCCGCGCGCAGGGAGCCGCTGTGCCGAGGGGCGTCCCTGGACAGGCGCCCGCCCGGCTGGGACTTGCGGCCCTCCTTGGGTGCGCCCCAAGCGAGGGGCAGCGAGCACGCGCCGCGTGGGCCGTGTCCCCAGGCTGGGCTGCTGCGCTGGGGACAGGAATTAGAGCGTGGGGTTCCCTGGTGCCTTTCAGACCACAAACGCGTGTTCCGCAGCAGCAGGAGCAAGCACCCCGCGCTCCGAGGCGGCGGGAGGGGCTGAGGCGGAGCCGCCGGGCGCTGGGGCGCGCGGAATGTGTACAGTCTCCCCGGCAACACGGCCGGCCTGCCGCCGAGCAGGGGCCATGGCGGAGGAGCCGAAGCCCAAGGGTAAGCGGGCAGCGGGCCGCCTCGCGCGACCTGCCAGGCCGCGGCTGCGCTGGTGTGGGGTGCGCCCAGGTCCTGAGCTCGGGGCTCAGGGGGTGTTTGGGGGCACATTGCCTGCCTGACTACGACCAGCAGAGAGCGTGTGCGCCCCGTGTGCGTGTCCTCGGAAGGGGAGGGACGGGGCACTCAGGCGGGAGCGGCTGGGGCTGGCTCACGGAGCCCTCGGGGCTGGGGCGCAGGGCCCCCTGCAGCGCAGCCCGCCCTCCCCTGCTGCTGCCAGCGGGCGTGGCCTCGGGAGCCCGAGGCCCAGGGGGTCCTGGGGGATGGAGCCGCCGGGCGCGGGGTGTTTCCGGGAGGACGCTGCTGCCGCCAGGGCCCGGCGGCCGGCGCATCTGGGCAGCAGGCCGGCCGCCGGCCGCTCACCGCACTGAGTGTGTAAATAAAAACCTCTTCCGCGCACAGAAAATAACTGGGAGCCCCTCTGGTCCTCACCAGGGCCCCCAATGCCGGGCGCGACCTGCATCGGTGTGACCGCTTTGGGGGTCCCTCCTCTGGCCCTGCGCGGGGTGCGGGGTGCGCGGGGTGCGCGGGGGCGGGGCTGGCTCCGCGCCTCCGGGCACTAACTTCCAGGACAGCGCGTTGGGCTGCTGCAGCCACGTCAGGGGAGCGGCACGGTGCGGTCACCCGGGCAGTCTCTCAGGGAGTGCCCGTGGGTACGCGGTCTGCACGCTCTAAAGGAAAACCCACGGGTGGACGCGCTGGCAAGCAGGAGTGGCCCGCCTGGGCAGCACCGCCGGGCTGTGGGGCTGGACTTGGGGCGCAGCAGCCTGAGCGCCTGGGCCTGCAGACCACGCTCCTCCCTGCGGCCAGCCCCTGCCCTAGGCCCTGGGCTGTGGAACCCGACTGGCCGCCTGGCCCCGCCCAGAGCCCCTGTTCTATGGGCCCTGTGAGGGAGCCCGCGGCCCCCCCACTGCGGCCCCCCCCACCGCGGCCCCCCACCTAAGGCCACAGCCTGAAGGCTGCAGAGCCCTTGCCAGGAGCCAGAGCCAGGAGGGGACATGCTGGGGCGCACGACTGCCTGGCCGGGTGATGCCCCCCCCACCGTGGCCCAACCCCTCGTCTCCCACATCCATGGGCTGAGGGCATCTGCCCTCCCGCCCACCCCGTTCATCTCAGCTCCGCAGCTGCATATTCGCAGCTGATTTAAAACTCCCAAGTCTCTCCGAGCCCTTCAGTGACTGAGGATCTCCTGTGCCGCTTTGCCCCAGTGCCGGGAACCTCCCAACGAGCTCTTCCCTCGAGCTGGCTCCCTCGCAGGACCGGGGCAGGACGGTCATTCCCTGGAGGGACACGGAGCCACCGTGGAGGGAGCCGGGGGACCTGCGCGGCCACCCGAGAAAGCCCGCGGCCGGCGGGGAGCCTCGGAGGTGCTCCGGGGGGCATGTGGAGGACACGGCCCAGGGGCCTGCAGGGCAGCTCCCGGGCAGGCTGCCCTGGAGCCATCCCCACCTTGCGGCCTGTGTGCCCCTGGCCCGCCCCGCCGCCCCCAGACGGGGGTGCTGGCCGCAGCTGCCGTGGCAAGCGCAGGACGCAGGGGGCCCCCGGGGCCCGGGCAGCCCGGGGCTGGGTGGCTCTCGCGGGCACGCGGGCGGCCTCTGCCCCTGCCCCTGAAAGGCGACTTGCTGAAACCGCCCGCCGCGGTGGAGGGCAACTGTTTGAGGTGCTGGGTGCTTCAAGCCGAGTCTGCAGAACCGCCCGGCGCCCGCCGGTTCCTATTTGAAAACTGGCGCGGAGTCTCTCGGGCTTTTATTTCCTGGTCACCGCATAAAGAGCCACGGAGCTTCCCCGCGGCCTCGCTGCCAGGCTGAGGTGGCAGGACGGGCACTCACGCACACCGGCCGGGAGGGCTGGTGAGGCCCCGCGGCCGCGCCCCTGGGGCGGGGGTGGGGGGAGGCAGAGGAAGCCACCGGGTTCAGCTTCTGGTGAAGACGCCCGGGAGTCAGATCCCTGTGGAGAGGAAGGAGACGCAGTTCCCTCCCGGTCATCAGCCCGGGGCAACAGCGAGAGCCCACAGGGGTTTCCGGGAGGGCTTTTGTTTTTTATGAGGTTAATGTTGAATGCAGTTGGTGCTGGCCCAAACGCGGTGGGCCTCCTCCGGTCAGCTGCTGACCGCAACCGCACCAGCGGCGATAACAAGAGGCCAGGCTCCCGGGAGCGGGAGGCCTCCCGGGGCGGCCTCCAGCAGGACCTGGGCCCCGCCCGCCAGCCCCCTCCTGGGCGGGCTGTGTGGCGTCTGTGTGACGGCCACGAATCCCTGCCCCGGACGAATCCCTGCCCAGGACGGACGCGCCCTGGCGTCTGTTTCCCTGGAGGAAGCTCTGGACCGTGCCTTAGGGCTTCGTTTAGGCTTGCCGCCTTGGGTGGGCGCCTGCCGCCTGGGAGAGCCTCCCGTCGCTGCTGAGCGTCGCCCGGTGCTCAGGGGACGTCTCCGACTAACCCCTGGGAGGGTTTGCGCCTGGATCTGTGCGCTCGGGGGGCCGGGGGGGGGCTTGGCACCACGTGGGCGGCATGGGGGATTCTGGGGTGGCCCAAGCCTCCCTGGGCCCCGGGAGCCCTGGGCTTGGTCGGGAGCGCTGCAGCACAGGGAGGGCACCCGTCCTGGGTGTGCCAGGGCACCGTGCACTCCAGGTCAGGGGCCCGGGGGCGGCACCCAGCCTAATCGCAGGGCCCTGGTCACAAAGCGGGTCGGGCAGCGTGTGAAGATGTTAGGGGCAGCGGCCCAGGAACACGAGTGGCCCCTCAGATCTGAAGGTGAGCCCCACCACTCAGCAGGGAGTGGGTGCAGGCAGACCTGCACCCCAGATTTCAGGTTCCCACTGTGTCCCAAAGGGCCCCTGCCTGGGGGTCCCAGCTGGCAGCATGGGGGACACAGGACAGCACGTGTCCTCCTTGCCAGGGCCCCAGGTCACAGACCTGCCTTCCTCGCCCCTGGCTTGGGGCGCTGGGCCCTGTGGGGGTGCGCGTGCCCGGACCAGGGCGCCGGCTTGCGGCTGGGGCACCGCCCGGGGTGCTGGCAGCGTGGGGCCCCCCTGGCGGGGTGCTGAGCCGCTGTCTCCCCCAGCACACCTGTCCCGGAGGCACTGCGAGACGCCCGGCCTGCGCACGCTGTGCAACCTCACGCAGCTGCTGGACATGCTGCAGGAGGGCCACCGAGATGACGTCCGGCTCTACACCTGCGGGCACCTGAACCCCAACAAGCTCTACAGGCCCCCAGAGACCATCCTGCGCCACTGGGCCAACGCACACAGGCCTGAGGGGGCGGCTGGCCCCGGGGTGGGGAGGCCGTGCGCAGGGACGGTGGCCAAGATGAAGGACGCCCTGGCCTACTTCGCCGTCAGGACGGCCCTGCGCCCCAGCGACGGCCGGGACACGCCCCTGTTCCGGTACCTGAACCCCGTGAAGCCATCTTCCGAGGACGCCCTCGTCCCTCAGGCCCGGCGGGCAGGGCCCTTTCCTGAGTGGCGGGAGAAGGAGGAGCTGAGGATGCCGGAGGTGAAGGTGCTCCGGTGCCGGAGGCCGGGGTCCAGCCGCCAGGGCGCCGCGCCCCCCGCCCAGGACAGGTTCCAGTACGTCAGCTCCTACCTGGCCGGCGTCACCAAGGCAGACCAGTACCGGGCGTTCTTGCGTTTCCAGAAGGACGTCCTCGCTAAGCAAGACCTGCTGGAGAATGACTTCACGGGCAGCAAGGCCGTGCTCGTCCACGAGAGGAAGCTGGAGCAGGTGAGGGCACCGGGGGCGGCGGGCCGGCTGGCCGTGGCCACAGGGGTCTGGGCTCCCCGGGGGCAGGAGGGAGCTGCCGGGGCTGCGCCCCGAGGGTGCGGGGGGCGGGGTGGGGTGACAGGGTTAAGTGTGAGGTGATCTCGAGCCGAGAGCAGGAGCCGCTGCTGGGGGTGGCGTAAGACGGGGCTGGACCCTGAAGTTCTGAGGGGTCTGTGAGACTCATGTGAGGGCGAGTGAGGACAGCTGAAGGTCCCTGGTGCGGGTGACTGCCCTGGTGTCCCTGAGCAAAGTGGCAGGTGATGGGGCAGGGGCAGGGGGAGGGCTGGCTGCTGGGCGAGGGTGAGGCCGGGAGGACAGGGGCGCGTGGGGAATGGCCACACCTGGGTGAGGGACACATGGTACGAGGGGGCCTCAGGGCTTCGTGGGGGGTGCTGAAGCACAGCGCGCAGGGAACCAGCAAAGGAAAGGCAGACACAGGCCCAGGGTCTGGGCGGGTGGCCTGGGCAGGGCCCAGCGGAGTTTGGGCGGGGCCTGAGTGGGGTCTGGGCGGGGCCTGGTGGGGTCTGGGCGGGGCCTGGTGGGGTCTGGGCGGGGTCTGGTGGGGTCTGGGCGGGGCCTGGTGGTATCTGGGCGGGGCCTGGTGGTGTCTGGGCAGGGTCTGGGCAGGGCCTGGGCGGGGCCTGATGGGATCTGGGCGGGGCCTGGGTGGGGCCTGGGTGGGGTCTGGGCGGGGCCTGGTGGTGTCTGGGCAGGGTCTGGGCGGGGCCTGGGCGGGGCCTGATGGGATCTGGGAGGGGCCTGGGTGGTGTCTGGGCAGGGTCTGGGCAGGGTCTGGGC